GACAGACAAATACTTGCATACAATAAATAGATAGATGATGGATAGATGGATAAATGACAGATCCTGAAGAGGAAACTCAAAACACTTTGGCCACCTAATGAGAAGGAAGAAGGACTCCCTGGAGAAGAGCCTCATGCTGGGAACGATGGAGGGCAAAAGAAGAAGAAGGGGACGGCAGAGAAGGAGGAGGCTGGACGGAGTCACCGAAGCAGCCGGCGTGAGCTTAAAAAGACTCCGAAGGATGGTAGAGGACAGGAAGGGCTGGAGGAACGTTGTCCATGGGGTTGCGATGGGTCAGACATGACTTTACAACTAACAACAACAACATTATTATTATTATTATCCTTCCCATCTTATTGGCATCATGTTTATGGTTATTATTACTTTGTTGTTTTGCATGTTCACTGAGAGCTTCTGCACTGGAGACAAATTCCTTGTGTGCCCAATCACACTTGGCCAATAAGGAACATTCCCTTCTATTGATAGATAGGGCTTGGAGTGAGCCAGAATAAGGAAGCTAACTGACTATTGATTGTTGCAAACTGCACATTAGCAGCTGATGGTTCATTAGCAAGTGTTTGATAACACGAATCCCACTGCGAAGGTCCCTGGAGCAGGAGGCAAAATGTGCAACTCTCTAAGACAGAGAAGGAAGTGGCTCAAATGGAAAGAAACAGCAATGATATTCCCACCGGGACCAGCAGAACAGAAAAAAAAAGGAGAACGGCCTGTAAGCCATTGCTCAATTCAGTGTACTTTCCGCTTCGGAACAATTGATTGGCCCTCTAATAAATACAATCCCTTGTCTTGCCTCTTTTCCCTTTTATACTAGGCTGCCAGGAAGGAAAAGAGAAAGAAACAGGGAAGAAAGAAAGAAAGAAAGAGGGAGGGAGGAAGGAAGGAAGGAAAAGAGAAAGAATGAGTGATGGAAGGAAGAAAAAGAAAGAAAGAAAGAAAGAGGGAAAAGGAAGCAAGGAAGAAAAAGAGAAAGAAAGAAAAAGAAAGAAAGAAAAAAGGAGAGAAAAAAGGAAGGAAGAAAAAGAAAGGAGAAAGGAAGGAAAAGAGAAAGAAACAGGGAAGAAAAAAGAAAGAAAGAGGGAGAGAGGAAGGAAGGAAGGAAAAGTGAAAGAATGAGTGATGGAAGGAAGAAAAAGAAAGAAAGAAAGAAAGAAAGAAAGAGGGAAAAGGAAGCAAGGAAGAAAAAGAGAAAGAAAGAAAAAGAAAGAAAAAAGGAGTGAAAAAAGGAAGGAAGAATAAGAAAGAAGGAGAAAGGAAGGAAAAGAGAAAGAAAGAAATAAAAAGAAAGAAAGAGAAAAAAGGAGTGAAGGAAGGAAGGAAGAAAAAGAAAGAGGAGAAAGGAAGGNGACCCGGATTGTTGTTGGGGGCAATATGCTGACTCTGTAAACCGCTTAGAGAGGGCTGAAAGCCCTATGAAGCGGTATATAAGTCTATCTGCTATCGCTATTGCTAAATCAGGCTCTTAAAGAAAACAACTTACATAAAGGTAAACTGATTGATACTCCTCCAATATTTTCCGGCAGTAGAAAGCAGTGTCACACTGGCTTTGCATTCTCTGTTAGTGCTTCCTCTTTTTAAATTATTTTTAAATTATTACTGTAAGGTTTCTAGAAGTGAATGTGTTAAGTCTTCTGCTTCACACCGATGGGGCAGGAGACTTTAGAATCACAGATCAGAATGGTGAAAGCATCTTCTCTTGGGTAAGATCATCATACCTGTCTGATAAAGAAAGGGTTAAGATTTTCAGACAACTCTGTGTATATTTGCCAGCGGTTAAATGTTGCCAGGAGTTAGCAGTTGGT